AAATACTAAAAATTGGTTGGATTATACAGAAATGTATTTGTTACAGTTCTGGAGGCTAGAAGTCCAAGATCAAGGTGTCGCCAGTTTTGGTATCTTATAAGGCCTCTCCCCTCTGTGTGCTTGAGCTCCCTTGCTGTATGTCAACTTCATCACCTCTTTAAAGACCCTATTTCCAAAGACAGTTATTTTCTGAGATACTGATCATTAGGACTTTAACATTTTGAGAGAGGCACACACAATTCAGCCCATAATAGATATTAGCAGCAACTCTAAGGTTTTTGACTCCTGGCAGCTAGGAGAATGCTACTTATGTGAGAAAGCTAGAAAAAGTTGCAATTTAGGAAAAGGAAGAAGATTGATTTTCTTTGCTTTTTTGGAGTTGCACTTGCCACTGGCATATAACTCTTGGTTTCTTATCTCTCTCCCATTAGACTTCAGGGACCTCTGTTTCATGGACATTATCATATTCTCAGAGTACCCAGCAAGAGGTTTGCAAAGAGGAGTTATTCAGTGAGTAAGTGTGATTCATGTAGCTCTCCAACAGGCATCTGGATTTTGGGTTCTACAGCTTGCAATTAGAGAACAAAATAGAAAGATTACCCATAGTCCTTGTCCATTATCTCACGTTTGATGGGCTGTAGAATCCATCAGCTTTTTCAGAGTATTCAAAAGTTGAGTACAATTGTGGATAATATTGTACAATTGTGGATAATATCTAAAACAAACTGCCTTAAAGACAAATCAAACCACTGTTAAGGTACAGTCTTTTTTGTTTGTTTGTTTTTGAGACAAAGTCTTGCTCTGTCGCCGAGGCTGGAGTGCAGTGGTGTGATCTTGGCTCACTGCAACCTCCACCTCCCAGGTTTGAGCGATTCTCCTGTCTCAGCCTCCCCAGTAGCTGGGATTACAGGTGTGCACCACCATGCCCAACTAATTTTTGTATTTTTAGTAGAGATGGGGTTTTGGCATGTTGGTCAGGTTAGTCTCGAACTCCTGACCTCAAGTGATCTGCCCGCCTCTTCCTCAAAGTGCTGGGATTATAGGAATGAACCACCATGCCTGGCCAGGTTTAATATTTATCACATGGAGATTATGGTAAGGACTGCTGACATTTGTTGGGTGTTTCTTATGACTTGGAGAATTTCTAGTGGTTTCCATGCACTAGCTTATTTGTTTTTTATGACAGTTCTATTTTATTCTGATTTTAAAGATGAAGAGCAAACACAGACAAGTTAACTATACAGATGACCCGGTGGCATAGTCAGCGGGACAGAGCCAGAATCAAACTTCAGTAGCAAGTCGGAACACTCAGTAACTGAATAACCTTGGGCAAGTTACTTGAACTTTCTGTGCCTCAGTTTTCTTACCCGTTAAGTAGGGATGATATTAATAACTACCTCGTAAAGTTTCTGTGAACAGATATGTAACAATGTTTGAAGTAGCGCCTCGCATGTAGTAAGTCCTCTGTGTATTATAGACTAAAGCTGGCCTTCATCTTCTACAGATAAATTGAAAAATGCAACAAGTTATTGAAGGAGCAAAGGGGTGTGTGTGTGTGTATATATATTTTTTTGTTTTGTTTTGTTTTGAGACAGAGTCTCGCTCTGTCATCCAGGCTGGAGCGCAGTGGCACAGTCTCGGCTCACTGCAACCCCCGCCTCCAGGGTTCAACCAGTTCTCTGCCTCAGCCTCCCGAGTACCTGGGATTACAGGCGTCCGCCACCATGCCTGGCTAATTTTTTTGTATTTTTAGTAGAGATGGGGTTTCACCATCTTGGCCAGGCTGGTCTTGAACTCCTGACCTCGTGATCCACCTGCCTGGGCCTCCCAAAGTGCTGGGATTACACGCGTGAGCCACCACACCCGGCCTCAAAGGTATATTTTTAAGTATTCTTTTCTTCCCCACTTTCTGCTTTTTCTATGGATGCTTTAATTCTGTTATATATTTAAACAAATGTGTATAGTTTCTATGATAGTGATTGCTGAAACCTGTAACTAAGTCTAATTTGCTGTCTTTTGAACTTAGCGAGTCCCTGTGGGATGATTCTATGGTCTATATTGCCTTAATAAAAAGGTCTAAGCCTGCACTATCCAATAGTGTAGCCATTAGCTACATATTATTATTGGCACCTGAAACATGACTAGTCTGAATTGAGATATGTTATAATCGTAAGGCACAACAGATTTCAAAGACCTACTATGAAAAAAAGAATGTAAAATCCCTCAGTAATTCTTATACTGATTACAAGTTGAGGGGATAATATTTTGGATATGTTGGGTTAAAGAAAATATATTGTTGAAATTAAGCTCACTTGCTTCATTTTACCTTTTTAAATGTAGCTATGAGAAAAATTTAAATTACACAAATAGCTTGCCTGCATTATATTTCTCTTGGACAGCACTGGTCCAAGAGAAAGGGAAGCCTCCCCTTTCACTCTGAGAATTTGCCTCCAGAAGCATTACCAGTCATTCCGCAGCTCTTTCCTCTTAGAGAGAGCTCGAGGGGCATCTTATACTGGAGAGAAGCAGGGAGCTGATAATCAGTAGGCCTGAGTGCCAGGCAGAGCCATGCCCCCAGCTTCCCGGGTGCCCGTGGACAGTTCCGTCAACTCTTTAAGAGGCAATGTAGAATAATGGCAGTGGTTCTTGAACTGTGGTCACATCAGAATCACAAGACCCAGGCCCTAGACTCCTTCTGTGAGCTTGAACTTCTGTGTTCTTTATTAGTAATTCAGGTGTTCTGGTCACCTATTCACCCCATTGGTAAAGGAGGGATTCCCCACCTGCTACTGTCTAAGAGTCCCCCAGACATTGAAACTTAATCCCCGTTGTGGTGTTATTAAGAGGTGAGGCCTTTGGGAAATGATTAAGTCATGAGGGCATGAAGGAGTTAATGCCCTTATAAAAGAGGCTTCAGAGAGAGAGTTCATCTCCCTTGTTCTTCTGCTATGTGAAGACACAGCATTCCCCCGTCCCCCTTTTCCCCTACCCTTTTGCCACGTGAGAACACAGCAAAAAGGCCCTCACTGGACCCACAACCTGCTGGAGCCTTGATCTTAGACTTCCCATCCTTCAGAGCTTTTAAGTTGAGGAGTACGCGTGCAGGTTTGTTATATAGGTAAACTTGTGACATGGGGCTTTGTTGTACAGATTATTTTGTCACTAGTGCCCATTAGTTATGTTTTCTGATCCTCCACGCTCTGATGGAGACCCCAGCATCTGTTGTTCCCCTCTATGTGTCCATGTGTTCTCATCATTTAGCTCCCACTTATGAGTGAGAACATGTGGTATTTGGTTTTCTGTTCCTGTGTTAGTTTGCTAAGAATAATGTCCTCCAGCTCTATCCATCTTCCTGCAAAGGACTTTTTTTTTTTTTTTTTTTTTTTTTTGAGACAGTTTTGCTCTTGTTGCCCAGGCTGGAGTGCAATGGTGCCATCTCAGCTCACCACAACCTCGACCTCCCAGGTTCAAGCGATTCTCCTGCCTCATCCTCCTGAGTAGCTGGGATTACAGGCATTCACCACCTTGCCTGGTTAATTTTGTATTTTTTTTTCAGTAGAGACAGGGTTTCTCCATGTTGGTCAGGCTGGTCTCATACTCCTAACCTCAGGTGATCTACCTGCCTCAGTCTCCCAAAGTGCTGGGATTACAGGTGTGAGCCACTGCACCCAGCCAGGATATCTTTTTTATGGCTGCATAGTATTCCATGGTATATATGCACCACATTTCCTTTATCTAGACTGCTGTTGACGGGCATTTAGGTTGATTTCATGTCTTTGCTAAATACCAGACCTATGGCTTTTTAACAAAAAAAAAAATTTCTATGTTCTTCAGGGCTGAATTACATGCCTTCAGTTATCAGATATCTACATGGCTTTCTCTTCCTATATTTGAGGTCTCTGCTCAAATATAAGAGAAATCTTTCATGACAAAAACTTGTTCTGTGACAGCCCCTCCTTTCATCTCTTTTTATTTCTTTACCCTGCCTTCTTGTTCTTAAAAGTGTCTCTCACTATATATTGGGGGTTTGTTATGCCCTCGTGGCCCATTATAATATCAGCTTTGTGAGATCAAGGTCTTTGTTCACTGCTGTATATTTCACATCTAGGACCCTTGGCTGGCACAGAGTAGACCCTTCAACAATTATATGTGGAATGAATGGTTCAGGTGATAAATAATGAGGCCTTGATCCACATGGTGTATCTATCAACTATTCACTACATCATTAAAGTAGCCATTGTGCAAATCTTTGAGTTCCTTCCAAATGCTTGTAGCAATATAGTAGGTGTTGGAGATGGAGCAGGAAACGAAACTCCCCATTAGACAGGTGTAATGCATATAAGTAAGTAAATATCTAGAAGGATGTTAGAGAGGAATAAGGGCTTAGAGAAAAGAATTAAGCAGAGATGAGGGATAGGAAGTGTTGGGGTGCAGTTAGGAGACTGAAATTATCTACAGGATGGCTAGAGACTCTGAGGTGGTGACATTTGAATAAAGAAGGAAGAGGTTCTTAGTGTGGCTCTAATAGTCTCTCCGGCCCTAGCCTCCTCCCCATCAAGCCTCCTCCTGTCTGAGAGAGTAATCTGTTTCTAACACTCCTTTCCGGAAGTTCTTCAGTGCTCTCCTGCTGACTTGCAGATAATATTGTGACTTGAACATCATCATGGTTTGAATTCTGCCTTCCTGTCCCATCTCTTTCTGCCTATTATTTATCTTCACATCATGACATTTGTTCTCTGGGAGTTTTATAGTGATTTGGATTCTCTAGTTAATACAGCTCAGTCATCCTCCAGGGCTGAGATTAAGCCACGTTTGCGTAGAACCCCCCTGCATTCCAGTGTGGGCTTAGGAGCCCATTCCTCATGCTGCCAGAGGATGCTGTGCACTACTCTGGCATTTAGCCATGTGTAGTGGAATTGCCAGTTTCCTCATCACTAGACTGTGAGCATCTTGAGGCTGGAGAATTGCATCTCTTTTAGTAAGGTTCCCACAAGTCTTCATTGAGTTAATAAACTCATCTATTTAATGAAGTAGTAATAAATTCACCTGCCTAGTGCTAATTATGCAGGCAGTAAAACAGTGTTCGTTTTCAGTATTTTAAGGGACACATTCTGTAGGTTCCGTAACAGTGACTCATGCTGCATTGACTTTGAAGAGCAGAGAGTACTGTCCTAAGATGTATTTAACAAAATCCAGAGATGCTTTTCCTTCCAAAAATGACTTTGATCTTGCCCAAGGACAGCAAATATTGTGAAAGACCTAGAGGAAAAACTTGGAAATAAAATCCCTGCTCTCCAAATCCTCCCAACTGGAGTCAGTCTCAGAATTATACAACTCAGAGAGACCTTAGACCAACTAGTCTAGTCTTCCTATGTGCATCTCCATGTCTGATAGTGGGTTCATTCATTCTTTCAGTCATTTCTGCTGGGCAATTACTTTGTACAGGAACTGTTTTAGGTACTTGGGATATAAAGCTGAATAAGCATTCATCGCAAGACAGATGGTTGATGTGCTATTATCACTTTTTTCCCCAAGGCAATGGAAATATACCCCCTGCAAAACATTCTTATTGAGAAGAGGTTGCTGGGCAAATAATAGAGTTAGAACCAAGTGAATTACAAATTCTAAAAGTATTTCAGGCTGGGTGTGGTGGCTCACACCTATAATCCCAGCACTTTGGGAGGCCAAGGTGGGTAGATCACTTGAGGTCAGGAGTTCGAGACCAGCCTAGCCAAAATGGGGAAACCTCATCTCTACTAAAGAAACAAAAGAAACAAAAAAAATTAGCCAAGAATGGTGGTGGGTGCCTGTAATCCCAGCTATTGGGGAGGCTGAGGCAGGATAATCTTTTGAACCAGAAGGCTGAGGTTGCAGTGAGCCAAGATCATTCCACTGAACTCCAGACTGGGCCACAATGTGAGACTCCATTTCAGAAAAATAAATAAATATTTCTTCTAAGATTGGAAGGTTTTATGTTTCCCGTTTCCGTAGTAAGGGTTCTTCTATCTGAACTGAGAGAACTAAGAATAATTTACTAATAAATGAAGCAGTAATTAACTAATACTAAACTTTTAATCTGGGTATTTTACTCTGTTTCCACCCTCCATAGAATCAGAATCATACCCTGAGAGCTACAAGGAGAACTCCATTTTTCACTGTGCAGGGGGCTGTCTCCTGAAGGGTCAAGTGGAATCTGGAATCCAGCCCATGCTTCCCCATCATCAAGCCATGTGAAGCTGCAGACTCCCTGAGTGTCTTAGTCCGTTTGTGCTGCTATAACAAAATATACCATAGACTGGGTGGCTTAAACAGCAAACCTTTATAACTCACAGTCCTGGAGATGGGGAAGTCCATGATCAAGTCACTGGCAAATCCAGTGTCTAATGAGGCCACTCTTACTGGTTTGCAGAAGCTATTGTCTTGTATCTTCCTGCGGGGAAGAGAGAAGGAGCTAGGTTACTTGCTTTTCTTACAAGGACAGCAATCCCATTATGGAGGCTTCACCCTCATGACCTAATTACCTCCTAAAGGCCCCACCTCCCAATAACATCACATTAGGGCTTCAACATAAGAATTTTGAAGGGACACAGACGTTGGTCCACAGCAGCAAGGGAGGGGCTCCTTGACTGTTTCATGTAAAGCAGCTGCATGGGTTTATGCATAACTTCTATTGATTGTTTAAGCTGCCAGAAACTGTTCCACGTGTTTTATGTATACTTAGTCACTTTCACTGATCTTCCTATGAGGTAGTTATTATTATTATATCCAATTTATAGATTAGACATTAGAGCACAAAGTACTAGCAAGTTGGAGATGCCCGTATTCCAGTACTGGTGGGCTAGTTCTGGAGTCTAGACTGTTCACAACTCTGTTCTCTACTCCCTTAAGCAGCTCCCTTGGCTTCAGAGTCCAATCTCCATTTCTCTGCCTTTTACCCCTAACTCTGGAGCCCTCATTTCTCCTTCCATGAAACCTTAGATTCCCATCTGCTTATTTTTGTCTTTAGAAGCAACAGAGAGACAAGATTTGGAATAGTGGCTCTTGTATGAAAGCCAGATTCAGGTACTGTTCCTGCCTCTTGACCTCACCAAGCCTCAGCTTCCTCGCCTGTTAAATGGATACAATTGCCATCATCATATTTGTTGAGAACTCCCTAAAATGCCAGGTATTATGCCAAGGGCATTGCATAAATTCACTCATTGATTCCTCACAGTAATCCTATGATTAACATCCTGTTTTCATTTCCTTTCTTTTAGCTGAGCATAGGCACAGAGGTTTGGGTGGTTGGACCAAGGTCACACAACTGATGCAACAGTAGGTTCTTCACAGGTATGTGTGAAGTACCTTAATGAAACATCATGGACCAGCTTCTTCATATGTTAAACATCACCATTTTTGTTGTTATTACTGTACTTACTGTAGCTTGTTAATTTCAGTGACATTGATTATCTAATTTATAGCTGCATAAATCTTGCAGAGTCACGATTTTTTATTCAATTTCCTCTGTCTCTGTGATAATCTTTTTAAGGCCGTACTGTTAAAGTAAATTTTGCAAGATCTTTTTTTTTTTTAGATTTTGTCTTTCTCTTTAGAGATAGAGTCTCGCTCTGTTGGCCAGGTTGGTCTTGAACTCTTGGCCTCAAGCAATTCTCCCACCTTGGACACAGAGTGCTAGGATTACAGGCATAAGCCACCATGCACAGCCAAATTTTTCAGGGTCTTATACCTTTTAGAAACCAGTCCATATAGTCAAATTCATAGAGACAACGTGGTTATCAGGGGCTGGGAGGGGGAATGGGGAATTATTACTTAATGGGTACAGAAAAAATTCTGATGATGGATGGTGGTGATGGTTGCACAACAATGTAAATGTACTTACCGAACGTAACCACTTAAATGGTTAAAATGGTAAATTTTATGCTACGTATTTTACTATCAAAAAAGCAGTCATCTATGTACAGTAGTCCCCCCTTATCCACAGCAAATACCTTCCAAGAGCCCCAGTGAATGACTTAAACCTCGGATATTACCAAAGCCTCAATATACTATGTTTTTCCTTTACCTACATACTTATGATAAAGCTTAATTTATAAATTAGGCACAGTAAGAGACTAACAATAACTCAAAATAGAATAATGATAAAATACTGTAACAAAAGTTCTATCAACATGGTCTCTCTGTCTCTCAAAATATCTTACTGCACTCTACTCATCTATTTTTGGACCATAGTTGACTTCAGGTAACTGAAACCACAGAAAGCAAAACTATGGATAGGAAGGACCTCTGTAATCTTAAGTATTATTGCAAAAGCCTCAAATTAAGTGTGGGAAACCAAGAGAGAATAACAGGTATTTCAGAGGTTAAAGGCGAGGTTAAAGCACAAACCTCTACTAAAAAATTCATTGGCTGAGTGTGGTGGCTCACACCTGTAATCCCAGCACTTTGGGAGGCTGAGGCAGGAGGATCACTTGAGCTCAGGAGTTCAAGACCGGCTCGAGCAACATAGCAAGACCTCGTCTCTACAAAAAGTCAAAAAATTAGCTGGACATGGTGGTGCACACCTGTGGTCCCAGCTACTTGGGAGGCTGAGGTGGGAGGATCGCTTGAGCCCAGGTATGAGTTCATGATTGTGCCGCTGCACTCCAACCTGCGCAGCAGAGCAAGACCCTGTCTCCAAAAAAAAAAAAAATATTGGTAGAAACCATTAATGAGGACAGGTTTTATGTTACTGAATGTTATGTGCTTTTCTGCAGCTAAGAAGTAAGGTACTCTGAAAATGTTCTTTGAGCTTTTCCCCTCCTCATTTAATTCGTAAACAATCCTATGAGGTTAATTCTCTCCTTGTTAATCTCTTTATTTTATGCGTGAAAGAACTGAGGCACAGAGATATTAATAATTTGTCCAGGATTTCATAGCAAATAACAATGCCATAAATCTAGGCACTTGGCCACAGAGGTTACTCTTAATCTGAGCATTTTACTCTCAATTTCTACTCTCCCTAGAATCAGTCATACCCTGAGAGCCACAAGGAGATACTATGTTAGGGGCACACTGTGTGTGGTCAGGCAGGTCATTTGCTTGCCAGAGTCTTACAGTCAGAGGGACAAGTAGTATCTGGAATCCAGCCTAGTCTCTGTTCATCAAGCCAGCCTGAGGAAGGAACACTGCTGCTATTTCATGTTTAAAAAACAGCTATGTGGGTTAGTGACATCCTTGGCCAAACTCTCATGGCTTTTTTCTCCTTCCCCCTTGTTTTCTCCTTCCCTCTTAAGACTTGGCACTTCTCCAGAAGGAGGAGGACAAAATGACGAAGTCTAAGGTGAGTTGGACCTCCCTTTCTCCATAAAAATTGTCATCTCATTTCTGAAAGATTACACACACCTTATTCTTTTTGTTAGGAAGATGAAGGAGAACAGTAGACATTTAAGAACCTCTTGTGTGCCAGATGCTTGCTGCTTTTTACTTTTGTGTTAATTTTTCTGGCTTCACTTTATGACTTTATGATTTGATAAATAAGCATAGAAAAGTCAGTAACAGAATAAAAATCTCTCATTTTCCTACTATTTCCCTTACAAAACAACTGTTTTGATTTTCCATGTTCTTTTCCTCAGATGTATTCTGTGTATTTGTAAGCATTGTATAGATAAAATGTTCAAGTTACACCTTTTCTAATTAATATTATTTGCCACATATTTTTATAGTCCCTTGAATTGATGTTACTCTGTGGTGTGTGTGTGAAATAACTTTTCTCCTCATTCATCAACATTTAGGTAGTTTAGAATTTTTACTGAAAACGGTTACTACAGTTTTCCCACAAATAACCATTTTTTTCCAAAAAGCAATTTGAAGGAGTTTTGCTATTATTTACTTTTAATGTTATAGAGACACTATATTGAAAAAGTACTTTTGATATGTGGTACTTTGGGTATTTCGTATATCAATGATTCAAATATGACATCGTGCAACATGATATCTCTGATCAGAGAAAACATTATTAGGTATTTCCATGTAAGAAAGCTAGATTTTTCTTACCCAGGCCTGAGTTGTACCCTATGTATGTTTATTTACTGATCTGTATTGTTTTACTCTTATGTTAACTTATTTTATTCAAGTAATAATGTGCTTAATTTTAGAAGTCCAGTAGTACAAGAGGACTTACCAGATACTTTTCTTACTGTATTTATTCCTCACACCAACTTTATGAGGCAGTACTTGGTCTCATGCGCATTTTAATTACAAAGAAACAAGATTGTAGAATTGTGGAAAGTTGCTTGGTTTCACTTAGGATACCAGAGATCCAACTGATTTCAAAAGACTCCAGGATTTTTACTTAATTGAAGAGAGAGAGGCAAAGGAAAAGAATTCTTCACTCAGAGGACCTGGCCCTTTTTGTGTGGGTGCCTAGCTTGTCCTGGTTAGTGGAAGATGCCTCAGATAATACCACCTCTACTTGATTCTCTCTCCAGTGGCCTCTTCTTCTCTATGATCACTGTCATTCATTTAGGGCACCTGAATGTGCAGGGCTCCAGGGATGAACAGCGTTCATATGATTAAAACAATATGATATGCTGGCTGGGCGCCATGGGTCATACCTGTAATTCCAGCAATTTGTGAGGCTGAGGCAGGTGGATCACTTGAGGTCAGGAGTTCAAGACCAGCCTGGCCGAACATGGCAAAACCCTATCTGTACTAAAAATACAAAAATTATCCTGGCATGGTGGTGCATGCCTATAATCCTAGCTTCTTGGGAGGCTGAGGCACGAGAATCACTTGAACCCAGGAGGCGGAGATTGCAGTGAGCTAAGATCATACCACTGCACTCCAGCCTGGGGAACAGACAAGGCTCTGTCTCAAACAAACAAACAAACAAACAAACAAACTATACGATATGCTAGTGATTCTTTATCATGGGTGATTTTACCACCCCGCCCCCCACCCCCCGGCAATATCTGGAAACATTTTTGGTACCACAGGTCAGGGGTGCTACCAGCATCTAGTAGGTAGAAGCTAAGGATGCTGCAAAACACCCTACAGTGCCCTAGACACCCCCACACAGCAGACAGCTATCCCGCCTGAAATAGCAATAGTGCTGAGTTTGAGAAACCCTCCTCTACACAAAGCTATACGACACCAGCAAAATGTAGGTGAACAACAACGTATATGCTAAAAAAAACAAAGACTTAAAATCATCACTAGAAATTTTACAGAGTTGTAAGATAAAACTCTAAATGGAATATCAATAAAAGGACAGTAACAGGCGAGATACCAAAGAAAAATAAAGATGTCCAGTAACTATATGAAAATATGATCTTACTAATTAAGTACACACCAAAAAACCAAGTTGTTTCTTACTGAACAGATTGCCTAGGATTTTGAAAAAGTCAGTTATATTCAATGTTATATATGGTATGGAGAATCAATGATATTTACTTTCTCTTGGGGATAGGATAAGATAGGGAAAAATTGAAAAGAAGATCTGTTTTACATCATAATTTGGAAGTTGCATATTCTCTGACATTGTGATTTTTCACTTCTTGGAACTTACCTAAGAAAATAGGTGGGTAATATCTATGTAAAAAGTTGTTCTTTACAGCATTTATTATAAAAAGGAAAAATCTCTAAAATATAATACACTTTATATGGAATGTTTAACTATATGATAGTAAAGTTGAGTATGGTCTCTTAAGAATCTGGCACCTTTCCCTACACATCTTTTTCACATTTCTCAGTGCTATCTGTCTTCCAGTGGACCTATATTGCAAGATTTAGGTGGAGTGTGTTTGATGTTGTAGGAGCCAGTGACATTCAAGGACGTGGCTGTGGTCTTCTCTGAGGAGGAGCTGCGACTGTTGAACCTTGCCCAGAGGAAGTTGTACCGAGATGTGATGCTGGAGAACTTCAGGAATGTGGTCTCAGTGGGTGAGGACAGGCATTCTCTGACTGAACATTGTCTCCCTCCGGTGTCTCTCTGTCCTTGGGTATACAGGGCTTTGGAGCTCTTGAACTGGTTTTCAGTTTTCTAATCATCCATCATAAGACAGATTTGGAATTTTTAGTCTTTCCCCCTGGCAAAAGTGTGTATTTTGTTAATGAACTATAACTTGACAGCATGACAACTATACACTTTTATACTTTCTCAAATTGTGGTCATCTCCAATTAATGGCTCATGATATACATTTGATGAATTGTACCATTGGTTTTTTTAATGAAATAAAATGGGGTAGAAAATGTCAGAGCACTTGGCAATAACTGCACATTGCAGCAAAGACTATGTACTGTTGTCAAGAAGAATGTGAGAGACAATGGAGAGGGTATGATGAAAACATATTTTTTTTCTAGTAATTTATACTTATATCTGCATATCTTGGGTCTTTGCATGAAATATACTTCCTCCAATGGGTCATGATTAGAAGTGTGGAAAACACTAATTTTGATGTCCTGAAGACGATGAAATGAGGACAAGAATTTTTAGTAATTTTGGCCTCTAATGTATTAATTATAAACCTATGTCCTTGCCTTTTCACAGGGCATCAGTCCACACCAGATGGTCTGCCCCAGTTAGAGAGAGAAGAAAAGCTGTGGATGATGAAGATGGCAACCCAGAGAGATAACTCCTCAGGTGAGGAGGGGCTGGGGCTGCTGGACTTTTTTCTATTAGTCTTGGAGATATTCCAAGGTTGGTAAACAAAAATATGTGATGAAGGCATAGTCTAGAACAGTTTTTTCCCCCTGATGAATATCTAATCTAATTCTAATTTATTGGGTGCTTTTGGATATATGAAGATCTGTATTCATTAACCCACTTAGTTTGTTCAGGATGCTAAAACAAAATAGTACGGACTGGGGAATTTATAAACAACAGAAATTTATTTCTGACATTTCTGGGGGCTGGGAAGTCCAAGTTCAAGGCATCAGCAGATTCGATGTCTGCTGAGGGCCCACTTCCTGATCCAATGACAGCACCTTCTTGCTACGTCCTTAAATGGAAGGGGCAAGAAATCTCTCTCAGGCCTCTTTTATAAGGGCACTAATCCTATTCATGAAAGATCTGCCCTTATGACATAATCACCTTCCTAATGCCTTAGGAGTTAGGATTTCAGCATACAAATGGCAAGGGCACACACATTGAGACCATAGCACCCACATCTAGTGAAAGCTTAGCTTTAGTTGTAATCAAATTGAGTATCATTTCCCCCTTGTGGCTTTCCTGTAGCCATTAATAGTGAATCTTGCTCACTTGGTGAAGAACTACTTTGTAGAATAAAGATTCTCATAGCCACTTTTGAGGCAAGTCTCTATAAAAGAAAATCACTTTACACAAGGAAAAAATAATGTTTAGAGAATAGCTTTTAAGTCTTTCCCTTTAAAAGTTTTCTTTGTGGCAACCATCCCCCTCTTCCAAAGAGAGTTACAGAAAAGAATGTTACTTCTCATTTTAGACATCCCTATTCAAATATGGTATGTATGGCAATGCCTTTATTATCTACAAAATTAGCCACTAAGCAAATAAATGTTATAGAAGATAGCCATTAAATAAACATATTCTAAGGAAGATAGATTTTAGTTTTCTCTTCATTGTAATAAGGGGCTAACATATCATTTTCAATTAGAAACATTATAACCTGGGCAAAATAGGGAAATTGCCCTACTCAAATTGACACATTCTCAGGAAGACAAAAAAAAGTCACATTTAAAAGTGAAAACTTGCGGCTAGGCATGGTGGCTCATGCCTGTAATCCCAGCACTTTGGGAGGCTGAGGTGGGTGGATCACCTGAGACCAGGAGTTCCAGACCAGCCTGGCCAACATGGTGAAACCCCGTCTCTACTGAAAATACAAAACTCAGTTGGGCATGGTGGCAGGCGCCTGTAATCCCAACTACTCGGGGGGCTGAGGTAGGAGAATCACTTGAACCTGGGAGGTGGAGGTTGCAGTGAGCCTAGAGCACGCCATTTCACTGTAGCCTGGGCAACAAGAGTGAAACTCCATCTCAAAAAAAATAAATAAACATAAAAGTCAAAACTTGCAAAATATATACAGACATGACAAACTAAGTAGGCTTCAACTTAAAGGAAACACATTTATCTGTTTTCCAAGTTTCCATTATTACAATATAACTTTCTATTTGAACAATTTATTTGATTAAGAAATTAATACCTTTCTTAATAATTTAGGCTAGGAGGTGTCAAACTTTTGAGTATGAGTTACAATAAGAAATATATTTTATATCATAAATAATATAAACATTCACATGTGGGTAGATGTGTGTGTGTGTGGCCTTAAACAATAATTTATGCAGAGAAATACATTACTGCTTACAAAACACATCTAATATTTTTCTATTCTGTTAATGCTTGTCACAAGTTACTGAATTTATTTCAAACTCACTAATAGTCCTAGCCTTCAGTTTGAAAAACAATGGCATGATCCATATAGAAAAATGTATTTACATCCATCCATTTTCATAGTCTGCTTTCAGAGACAACATTATTCCCAAGTCTCTAAATATTGACTCCTACTTGAGAAAGGAAAAATTTCAAAAACAATGAGAGAACAAAAATTTTAGAAGCAATCAATCCCTAGATACCCTGGCCACTTTTCTGTCTTACGATTTTTTTTTCCTAGGTAATTGTTACCATGATTCTGTGATCAGCATGATTTTCTCATCAGCACTATCCACTTAGCTTAGCCCTGCATCCAGTAAAACCTTAAAACTTCCCAGAAGAATCGCTCTTTCCAGTCCCTTTCCCATTAGGCATAGTTTACTTGAAAAAGTTCTTTCACTTTTGTAATTTGGCTGAAAGTCTCCTAGAGAAGACAAGTGGGAATTCTTTTATTCAGTACATCTATTGAACACTGTGTGTCAGGCAGAGCTCTTGGGTGATGATAAAGTGGTGAATGATATAAAATGCTTGTGCTCATGGATGGCAACATCCGTTCAACAGAGACATAAAAAATAATAAGGGACATATTTAGTTTGTCAGAGGGTAGTACGTGCTTTGTCAAAACAAAACAGGTGAATGGAACTTGCCAGGGGAGTAAGGTAGATGGGGAGAATTTACTATTTGATATTGAGTGGGAAAGAGGCCTCACTGGGCCGGGCATGGGGGCCCACAACTGTAATCCTAACACTGTGAAAGACAGAGGCAGGTGGATAGCTTGAGCTCAGGGGCTTGAGACCAGCCTAGGCAAGATGGTGAAACCCCACCTCTACAAAAAATACAAAAATTAGCCAGGTGTGGTGGTGTGCCTCTGTAGTCCCAGCAGCTTGGGGGGATAAGGCAGGAGAATCACTTGAGCCAGGAGGTTGAGGCTGCAGTGAGCCAGGTTCACGCCACTGCACTCCAGCCTGGGTGACAGTGTGAGACCCTGTCTCAAAAAAACAAAAAGGGCCAGGCACGGTAGCTCACACTTGTAATCCCAGCACTTTGGGAGGCTGAGGCGGGTGGATCACGACATCAGGAGTTCAAGACCAGCCTGACCAACATGGTGAAACCCCCCTGGTGGTTATGGAAACTTTAATTGCTATTAGGTTTTAGAATAATGTATGTTATTACCATAAACCTCTTCTCCCAGGTGTTCTCATGGAGGATATTTCCTAGCAAGAGGTAAAGGACCACTATCTGTTTACACTTGAACTTTAGGTATGTAGGTCAGCAATCCCCAATCTTGGCATCAAGGACTGGTTTGTTGGAAGATGGTTTTTGCACAGACTGGGGTCGGGGGGATGGTTTTGAAATGAAACTGTTCTACCTCAGATCATCAGACCTCAGTTGGATTCCCAAAAGGAGCACGCAACCTAGATCCCTCACGCACACAGTTCACAATAGGATTCACGGTCCCATAAGAATCTAATGCCGCCACTGATGTGATGGGAGGTGGAGCTCAGGCAGTAATGGCCATTTGCCTCCTGCTCACCTCCTGCTGTGTGGCCCAGTTCCTAACAGGCCACGGACTGGTATTGGTGCACGGCCCAGGGGTTGGGGACCCTAACTTAGGTGATAAGGTATTTTCTGAAAAATGTATGTCTTTCTAACTAGCACAGTGCCTCAAAATCTCCCAATCTTGGAATAAACTTCCAATGAAATAATCCCAGGCAAAGGTTTTTGATAATTTATGGTAGGAGTTTTGCTAGACATTTTGAACAGGGCCACTTTGTTCAGATGTCTATGCAGTAGGCAAATTTTGTGGAAGCTATTCATTAGACATCTGCTATAGCAAAAAATTAGGCTTTTTGTAAGGTGCAGTTTCTTGGTAAAGATTTCTTAGGAAACATGCTTCCTGTTCTGCAACCACCACATTTTTACCTGGTAGCTCACACAGAAATTTAGTGTGATTCTAAGCAGGTCTCATTAATGTGTAGTGAATGAGAACCTGATGACTCCCTCTTGGTGTCTTGGTACATGTACATGATGATAATGAGAAACGGAACCTTCTCCTGGTTCAATGAAGCCTTAGGCTGTGGGCCCGAGTTTATAAACTTGACATCTTGGAACAAAACATTATTCACATGCTCCATCTCCAAATTTTCTTTATCCTTTTAGGAGGCAAGAATCTAAAAGAGATGGAGACTCTTCAAGAAGTAGGATTAAGGTACCTGTCTCATGAAGAATTTTTCTGCTCCCAGATCTGGCAACAGATTACAAGAGAGTTAACCAAGTATCAAGATTCTGTGGTAAACATTCAAAGAACAGGCTGTCAGTTGGAAAAACGAGATGATTTGCACTATAAAGATGAGGGATTCAGTAATCAAAGTTCCCATCTTCAAGTTCACCACAGAGTCCACACTGATGAAAAACTCTACAAAGGAGAACATTGTGTGAAAAGTTTCAGCTGGAGCCCTCATCTTCAAATTAACCGAAGGGCTAATGCAGGAGAGAAGCCCTACAAATGTGAAAAATGTGATAATGCCTTCCGTCGGTTTTCAAGTCTTCAAGCCCATCAGAGAGTCCACAGTAGAGCAAAATCATACACAGATGATGCAGCTTATAGGAGTTTTAGTCAGAGGTCACATCTTCACCATCATCAGAGAGTTCCCACTGGAGAGAATCCATACAAATATGAAGAGTATGGGAGGAACATTGGGAAAAGCTCACATTGTCAAGCTCGTCTGATAGTTCACACGGGAGAGAAACCCTATAAATGTGAGGAGTGCGGGGTAGGCTTCAGTCAGAGATCATATCTTCAGGTTCATCTGAAAGTTCACACTGGAAAGAAACCATATAAGTGTGAAGAGTGTGGGAAGAGCTTCAGTTGGCGTTCACGACTACAGGCTCATCAGCGAATCCACACTGGCGAGAAACCATACAAATGCAATGCTTGTGGCAAGAGCTTTAGTTACAGCTCACACCTTAACATTCATTGTAGAATCCACACAGGAGAGAAACCCTATAAATGTGAGGAGTGTGGGAAAGGTTTCAGTGTGGGTTCACACCTTCAGGCCCATCAGATAAGCCACACTGGAGAGAAACCATACAAATGTGAGGAGTGTGGGAAAGGCTTCTGCCGGGCCTCAAATCTTTTGGACCATCAAAGAGGCCATACTGGAGAGAAACCATATCAGTGTGATGCATGTGGTAAGGGCTTCAGTCGTAGCTCAGATTTTAACATTCATTTTAGAGTCCATACAGGGGAAAAGCCCTATAAATGTGAGGAGTGTGGCAAAGGCTTCAGCCAGGCCTCAAATCTTCTGGCCCATCAAAGAGGCCACACTGGAGAGAAACCCTACAAATGTGGTACATGTGGGAAGGGCTTCAGTCGGAGCTCAGATCTTAATGTACACTGTAGAATCCACACAGGAGAGAAACCCTATAAATGCGAGAAGTGTGGTAAGGCCTTCAGTCAGTTCTCCAGCCTTCAGGTGCATCAGAGAGTCCACACTGGAGAGAAACCATATCAGTGTGCAGAGTGTGGGAAAGGCTTCAGTGTAGGTTCACAGCTTCAAGCCCATCAGAGGTGCCACACTGGAGAGAAACCTTATCAATGTGAGGAGTGTGGGAAGGGCTTCTGTCGGGCCTCAAATTTTCTGGCACATCGTGGAGTCCACACAGGAGAAAAACCATACCGATGTGATGTGTGTGGTAAGCGCTTCAGGCAAAGATCCTACCTTCAGGCCCACCAGAGGGTCCACACAGGAGAGAGACCATACAAATGTGAGGAATGTGGGAAAGTCTTCAGCTGGAGCTCATACCTTCAAGCCCATCAAAGAGTTCACACTGGAGAAAAACCATACAAATGTGAGGAGTGTGGGAAGGGCTTCAGTTGGAGCTCAAGTCTTATCATTCATCAGCGAGTCCATGCTGATGATGAGGGTGACAAGGACTTTCCTTCATCAGAGGGTTCACACAGGAAAACTCGATAAAATATGTTTTACTATCTCAGATGGGTGCTGAAATATTTTAATTATCAGAGCTATCATAGACAAAACATTTATTTTATAGAGTCAGTAGTTCGGCCGAGTGATTGGGAGACCACACAGCAGAGAAACCTCACAAGAGTGGAGACATATGGACTGCATTCAGAACACTGACCATTAGCTGATACATGCAGACAAGAGGATCAGGAAGGATGAGTCTGATCTGGAGTAAACCAGAAGTACTAAGATGGGAATGCTGAATGCTATTCCACTAGAATATAAGGTCCAAGAGGGTAGGGACTTTGTTGACTGCCAAATCTACTCTGCCTTTTCAGTGCCTAACACATTGTAATTTTTCAGTAATATTTGAAATTACTGTCATACTTGAAATTCAGTAATATTTGACATTTATCTCTAAAAGTTTCTCTAAAATTGTACTCAGAAGAAGAATTCTGCAATGCTTGGAAGATATATAAGTTAGTCATATGGCCTGATTTTCCCATTTTTGCAGGTCTCGTGGATGAGTGTTTATCAAACTGAAGGTTGCAGCTTGTTAGTGGGTCCAGAGATCAGTTTCTGGCTAGCAACTAGAAATTTTGTATGTTAACAGTACTTTATTGAGGTGTAATCTGCATGCAGTAACATGCACAAGTCTCAAGTTTATGGCTTCCTGAATTTTGACAAATGTAATAATCACCAAGATCCATGTGTACAATGTCTATTAAACCAAAAAGTTTTCTTGTGCCCATTTCCAGTCAATCCCACCTCCAGTGCCAAGTATTATGATTTCTATACCGTAAATTACTTAGGTCTGTTCCTGAGCTTCCTATGGATTTAGTATGTACTCTTATATCTAGATTCTTATGATCAAATGTATGATCTCAGTAGATTCAGAGAAAACATTTGACAAAATTCAGCATCCACTCATGATGAAAAAATTTTTCATAAAAGGCATCCATGAAAATCATACAAGCTAACCTTATTTTTTTACAGATGAGGGAATAATTTATATACAGTGAAACTGACTTTTTTTACATTATTAGGGAATAATTTATATACAGTGAAACTGACTAGTGTATCATTATGCATTTTGGCAAGTGCTGTCATATGAACACCACCATCACAATCAAGACATTCAACAGTTCTAGCACCCCCTGCCCTGAAACTTGCTTGTTCTGTTTAGTCAGTCCCTCTCCCCATCACCAGCCCTTGTCAACCACTGACTTATTTTCCATCTGTATAGTTTATATCATTACCAGAATGTCATATAAATGGAATCCTAGAGTATGTTTCCTTTGGAGTCTGGCACCTTTCACTTAATGCTTCTGAGACTCATCTGTCTTGTTGCATGTATCAGTACAGAAGTCATTTCTTTTTGTTGCTGAATAGTAGTCATATGGATGTGCCAGTTTGTTTATCCATTTATCACTGGTGGGATATTTGGGTTTTCAGTTTGTAGTGATTATGAAGAGAGCTGCTGTCAACATTTGCAAACAGTTTTGTGTATCCACATTTTCTTTTGTCTTAGTAAATATCTAGGAGTGGAATTGCTGGGTTGTATGGTAACAGTATATTTATGAAAAACTGACAGACTTTTCTAAAATAACTGTACCATTTTACATTCCTACTACCAGTGTATGAAAGTCCCAGTACCTTAACTTCACCAACAATAGGTATGTCAGGGTTTTGTTTTGTTTTTATTTTGTTATTAGGATTTCAAAGGTTTTATACTGGGATTTCATTTTGGTTTTAATTTACATTTCCTTAATGGCCATTGAGCATCTTTACTGCTTGTTTGCTACCCATATGCCTATTTTCTTTTGTGAAATATGTTCAAATCTTTTGTCCGTTTTTTTAAAACCTGAGTTGTTTGTTATTGATTTTTGAGAGTTCTTTATATGTTCTGGATAGATATCTTTGTCAGTTATGTGTTTTGCAAATATTGTATACCATTATGTGACTTGTGTTTTTATTCCATTAACAGTATTTTTCACACTAGAAATTTTTTTTAAATGAAGTTCCTTTTTTGTCTTTGGTAGATTGTGCTTTTGGTTTCAAATAAAAGAACTCAGCCTAATCCAAGGTCACAAAGATTTTTCTCCCACTTTTTTTATCACAACTTTTATGTTTTCAGGTTTTATATTTAGGTCTATGATATATTTGAGTTAGTATTTATGTAAGATGTGAACCTTTATATAACGGAGGTCCACTATTTGCATATGAGAATTCAATTAACTATTCTTTCAGTATTGCCATGGCACCTTTATGAATCCACTAACCATACGTGTATGGGTCTTTTTCTGGCCTCAATGCAGTTTCATTGATTTATGTGTCTATCATTTTGCCAAATATTGCACATCTTGACTTTTGTATCTGTATATAATGTCTTCAAACCAGATAGTGTGAGTCTTCCAACTCATTATTTTATTTTGGCTATCAAATTTGTTTGCCTTACCATAATTTCCAGAATCAGCTTTGTCATCTGTAAAAATAATTTGCCGGGATTTTTATTGAGATTACAATGAATATTATAGATGAGTTTGGGGACAATTGACATTTTAGCAATACTGAGAATGTTCTAAACCATATACACAGTATCTGCCTATTTGTTTAGGACTCCCTTATTTCTTCAGTAATTTGTAGTTTTAACCTACAGATCCTGCACATACTTTGTTAGATTTATACCTACACATTCCTTTTTTGGGGGTTCTAAGTTAGTACTGTTTTTCAAATTTCAATTTTCAATTGTTCTTTTTCAATATATAGAAATACAGTTGATTGTTTTATGTTGACCTTGTGTCCTATGATCTTGCCAATCTTAGTTATTGGTTTAAGTAGCTGTTCTATTGATTGCTTGGGATTTTCTGTGTAGACAATCCTGTCATCTGCAAAAAAAAAAAAGAAGGAAAAAAAAATGTGCTTTTCCCTCCCAATTTATATGCCTATTACAGCCCCTCTACTATGATATGGGGAAACTTCTTCCAAGGTTAGGTTTGAATGTCAAAAGTCCTTCCAAGATTAGGTTTGTATGTCAAAACTCCTGACAGTAGTCCTTTGGAATGATCAAAGAGAGATGATTACAGGGGTGGGAGGGCTGCCCAGAAAAAGGTCCAAAACAGAGAGAAAGAATAGTCAGTGTTCAGTCAGTTTATAAAGGGGGATGTCCTGCCAGCACAGAGTTTAAAAGAGGTGGTGGAGGGCATATGCACTTGTGGAGCAGTAAGTGAACGTTATCAGGATTGTGAGGGAGACTGGACATAGGCAAGAGATGCCTAGAGGTGGCTTGCACTAAGTCAAACTCCAAGTTTCCTCCAATCTTAACAATTCACCCCTGATGTTTGGGTTAGCAGCAAACTCCCAGGTTTCCTGTAAATAAACTTGCATTTGAGAGAGGCCAAATATGCAAAGTTGACCCAATAAAATTAGGCCAACAACGATGATAGCTCCCTGTAAGATAATGTGGCACCAGATGATGTTAATCCAGGCAGAAGGAGGCAGTCAGGAGAAGAAATGGGGATTCAGAAACTCTTACTACATTTTAGTAACTGAGTAACATCGTTGACTGTTTTGGTTTATCTATTGAATGATTCTGGAGAGCTTTCCTGTTTTTATTGACCTACACGCAGCCAGAGGTTCCCTTCAGAGGGCCACCTTGAGATGCCACTAGTTCATCTAATGCAGTATTTTATCAACTACCATGACAGCTACAGAGCTTTATCTCATTAAGGGCTTCTAAATCTTGGGCTACTTGGTATATATGGTCTGCCAGGAATTGTGACATTGTTTAGCAGCTCTAAGAACGAAGTCTGCTACAGAACTGAAAAGATCTAGACTTATGCCTATTATACCAGAGATTGTGACAAGGCCCAATTTATAATATATAAAAAGGTGGCCTGGTATCCCCTTTTATGGGAAGGGCATTCACCAGTGCATATGTGTGAGACCCTTGTACTTTCAATGGCTTTATATACTATCGTTGATAGAGGGCAGGAAAGGTGGGACTGTGAAGGGAAATTTCATGAGGAAGAACCTTGGTGAGGTTGAGGGAGTGCCTGGGGAAGTAAAGGAGCTGGAGGGTGACCAGAGAGGATGGCAACTAGATAGTAGTATGGATATCAAATACCTCCCAAGAGTGTGGAAATTAGTTGTACGAGTGGTTACCCAGATTGGGACGCCTGCTGGCAGGCCCAGCGTTGTTGGAGTTTTATTTCTTGGATGACATGTTCTGTTGCTGTTTCACATGTATTATCTGGCAAGTTGAAGAAAGTAGGATGTGGTGTCATGACGAAGGAATAGTGCAGAGTGAAGCATGGATTGCTGGACAATGGGACTGGTGCTAATGCAGTGGTGGAGGTCACTGTGGAGACCATAGGGAGTAGTTATGTCCAGGTCCCAAGCGTTAAGCATGAAGGGAGGTATAGTTTTAAAGGCTTTTGTGTGGGGGTCATTTCACCCAAAGGATGAAATTAAGTGGTGGGGCACCAATGGGTGTAAGTTGGCTAGTTTATAGGGCATTGGCTTACACCAAAAGGGCATCACATGAGGAGCCTATAGAATGGGACAAGGACAAATCTACTGCAGTTCCTTGATGCAGCAGAGTAGGTCATTGGCAATGGTAGGTCCCTGTGTGCTGTCATTCATCAGGGTTTGGATATACCTAGATAAGTAAGGGCCTGCCAGTAAGCTTTAGCTTCTTGCAGAGTGTGATTACATTGTGCAGGACAGGAAAATACATGACTGTAGACAGCTATATAGCAGGCAGTGTGGGAGCTTCAGTTAAGTGTGAGGTTTTATGTTAATCTGGCTAGGTGTTGGGCTGTGTTTAATGTTTGATTTAGCTGAAAGTGTCAAAGGTTGCAGTTTTACTTTTCTCTCATGTCCCTTCTTTTTCCCTCCCTGTTGTCTTTGAATTTCCCTAAGAAGTTTAAAAACAGAATCTGTGTCTTGCAGCCTTCTCAGTTTTATTATCCTGTTGTTACACAAGAATCCTATTGATATGTGGTAAAGTGTGGGGAGAGGGGAAGTGTTCTACAATCATACGATTTAATCTGTCTTTTAGTAGGCCTGAGTCCCTGGCCTGTGACCTTTAGACGCAGTTCTTAGTCTTTCTGTTTTCCCCTTAGGTGAGACAGGAAGGCTAAAGAGGGCAGGAGTTGGCATATTGCCTTTCTCCCAAGTTATATAAGTATTTGATAAAGTCATTTCCCTTGGAGAGCAGTCCTTTGTTACGTGGAACACTCTCAGTGTATTTCAAAATAGTTACTTTTATCCTCCTCCAAAACATGAGATTTTTCTTGTATATTCACCATGAGAACCTAGTAGCATTACTGGAGGTAAATTCCATGAAAATGTGAAGCTCCCCCTGACTGGGTCCCTGGAAGATTTTTGAAGCTAGCCTCCAATGAATTCTCTAAATTACCAATTAAGCATTCCTACCAATAACATTGCTAATTACTTATTACCAGCTAATTAGTAACAGTTACCAACACTTAGTTACCAATTAGCTGGTAATACTTAATTAAACTGCTAATAAATATTACCAATTAGCTGGTAATACTTAATTAGCAGTGTTATTGGTAACACTTAGTTACCAATATTCTTTCCCTACCTAAATGGTCTTACTTGATCCTGCTCCAAGTAAGCTGATCTCTATTTGCTTTTCTCTCCAGATTTAGGGCTTGTGGTTTGCCTTTTGACCTCTATTATCTGACAGATCCAGAAAAAATTAATTTCTTTAGTTTTTTGTTGTTGTGAGGATG